ATGAGTGAATCAATGGAATGTGGAATAGTTATTGATAGGAACTCTTAGCCTCCACAGAGAGCCTTTTCTCAGGTCTCTCTTTGCTAAATCCTCAGATAGGTAAACAGTTGTAGAAACAAAAATCACTGGTAATGTTAGTTATGCCCAAGGACACGTTCATGTATAAAACAGTAGACTGGATTTTCCTCTGCCCCTCTCGGAGAGCCTGGCAAGCTACCGAGAGTATCTCCCCCACATGGCAAAGCCTGGCAAGCTGTCCGTGAGGTATTAGATATGCCAAAAACCAGTAAAAACAAGTCTCACAATTTGTTGTGAGACGTTACTGGTGCCCACTCAAGCAAATCGATGAACAACTGGAGGACAGTGCTACAGTGCTACAGACTGGATTATCAACCCTATCCAATTCGTTCAGGTGCAATCCCTCCCTTTACCTATACTTCATTCTCTTACGGAGACACCAGTGTCAGTGCCTCTATGGCTGCCATCAAGAACTTCAGTTCCTTTAGCTTGGATCTAAAGTGCTTGATATTGTCCAAAAGACCCACTGTAAATAATAAATAAATGGAACAAACTAATGAATAGGTTCAATTATTACTGGACACATAATTGTTAGGACTTTTAACTATGTTACTGGAACTATATTACATTTCTAGGAAATCTCCCTATTAGAATCATCTCATTTCTTAATAAACATCTTTTATAATTTATATATAAATTATCAATCTGAATATAAAATTTTGCTTCATATATTTTCTTTCAATTGTTTTGTTCTATTATTGATTGATTCAACTTAGAAGTGAAATGTTTTATTAGAGATTTATCGAGTTTATACTTCTGAAGTCAATGATAAGGCAATATATGATGTTAAAATTCTGAAATAGTATGATAAAAGAAGATGAGAGAAAAGAGCCTAGTGGATTTACATATTTAAAACAGTTTTAAGATTTTGACGATCTTAAAAATTGCATGCAGAAAATCGCTTTTTTGGTATACCGTTTTGTATATTTTAACATATGCGGAAATATTTGCAATTACCACCATAAAGAAAACACAAATAATTCCATCATCTGAAAAAGTCTCTTTGTGCTTAATACTAATCAAGTGTTTATTTCTCAGTAAATAAACTGTCCCTCTTAATAACTGACCCTCCCTTAATAAATGACAGTCACTGATTTACTCTGTATCTCTTTAACTTTGCCTTTCTAAAATGTCAGATAAATGGAATGAAAGAATATGTGACATTTTAAGACTGGCTTCTTTCACTAAATATAGTTAATTTGTGATTCACTTATGTTTTGCACCTATTAATAATGCATTTCTTTTTCAATCATGTACCATTCATCTTCCCATTAGGTGACCTTGGATTATTTTAGTTTTGTGTCAATTATAAACCATGCTGTTATATTAAAGTACAGTTTTCATAAGAACTTACATTTTCATTTCTATAGGAAATTAAATGTGACAAATGGTAGTTGAGTCAGATGTATGTATAATTTGAACTTTATGTGAAACTACTAAACAGTCTTTCAAAAATCTGCAATTTTGCATTCCTACAATAATATATGAGGGTTCCAGGTGTACATTCTCACAGATATGTGCTATTGTCATATGTATATATTTTAATCATTTTCATAGTTGTAGTGTTATTTCTTTTTAAATTTGCATTTCCCCACTGAATGATAAAGTTGATAGTCTTTTCATGTAATTATTTGCTTCTGGTATGCTTTTTACATGAAGATTCTGTTCAGACATATTTTGTTTAGTTGATTTCTTGTTTTCCTATTTTATATTGGTAAAATTCCTTATAAAATCTGATATAAATACTTTATTCCTCTTCTCAACTCTAAAGTCAAGTTATATATTCTTCTTTTGGATTGCATATTTATAGATTAGATTTCTTTCATTTAAATTTCTTAATTTTATGCAGAGTTACTTATAGTTATTCAACTTACTTATATTTATTGTCTTCTTGTCCATGGAATTTGACCTTTAATATTTGATATTAATATAATTATTTTATCTTTTGGGTAAATATAGCTGGAAGTTTATAATTTTATTTATCTTTTCAAGAATCCTTGTTTTTGATTCATTGATTTTTCTTCACACTGTTTTATCTTTTATCAAATTCTTCATTTGTCTTCCTATGTTTATTTCTTCTTGCTATGTGTTAGTTAGTTATTGCTTTTTAGCTCTGAATAAGCTTAGAATATTTAATGTCTTTACTATATTCTAAAAAGAGCATTTTACATAAAAAATTACTTCTAGGTATGTCTCTAGCTATATCTCACAAATGTTACTATGCTGTAAATTCATTTGTGTACAGTCAAATTATTCCCTAATTACCCTAAAGACTTTGTTGTTGGCCAAGAAACTTTTAAGTATGTTGTATAGCTACTCAATATTTAGAGGATTTCTAGAATCATTTTATTTAACTAAATTGATTAGTTATGGTAAAATTTGTTTGTTTTGAGGCCCATCACAGATCACAGATCACAGATCATCCTGTTATTCGTCGATTGCCTCGAGCAGGCCCCAGTAATGTCTCCTTCATCCTAGCCCTGAGATTATATTCAAGGGTCTTTAGGAGAATGAGACCCATCATTGTTACTGGTATTTGGCATATTGGGTACGACACAGGGAGTTTGCCAGACTCTGCCGTGCGGGCAGGTTACATTCGGGAGCCTGCCAGTTTGTCAAAGTAGGAATGAGATGTCATAATAAAACGTCGCGCGGCCGCATTTGCGGTTCCGGGATCTGGTTTTTATAGTCTCTGAGTCTTGGCTGCTGATGGGATTACACGGCGCCAGGGGGCCAATTGGTGGGTGTGACCCCCGCCTACTGGAATTTGGAGGCCCATAATAGAGCCTAATTTGGTGAATGTTCCATGTACACTTGAACATTGTGTTTTATATTGTTAATTGGGTGGGATATTCTTATTAAGTCAAATTGACTAGTAGTGTTGCTCATATTCTTGTCTACTGATATTTATATCTCCTTGTACTATAAGTTATTGATGTGACAGTTTGCAGCTGTAATTGTATGTTTTATCTTTCCATTTGGGAATTATTTTCCTCCCTTTAGTTTTGTCAGCTTTTGTTTTATATATTTTGAAACTTTACTATTAGGTGCATAAACACATTGGGATGTAATATCTTTTTGATGAATTGTGCTGGAGTGGGTAGGGCGTTTGCCTTGCACGCAGCCAACATGGCCGACCCAAGTTCGATTCCTTCGCCCCTCTCGGAGAGCCTGGCAAGCTACCGAGAGTATCTTGCCCGTGCAGCAAAGCCTGGCAAGCTACCCATGACATACTCGATATGCCAAACACTAACAAGTCTCACAATGGAGATGTTACTGAGCCCTCTCAAGCAAATTGATGAACAATGGGAGGACGGTGACAGTGACTTTATGAATGGCTGCAGTATAAACACCTAACATTTTACAATCTGCTCATAATTTATATTTTACAACCATAATTTAAATAAAAATATATTTAAAAACTATATAGATCCTTGTACCTTCACCTTTTATGGCATATCATTGAATATATTGAAAATTCCATTTGATGCTATAATTTTGCAACAATCATACATTTGCAAGTTTATTTTCTTTTATTGGAGCCATTGCTGTGTTTTTGTGAATTATTCCAGCTTTAGCTATATTCTGTCAACTTGAACACTAAATAGGTTTGTGAGGTGATTTTCTGGTAAATATTTATCCAAAATTTTGCCAACTATGTGAAACTTTAAAATATAGCCTATGACTATGGAAGTGTTTTTTTTTCCTACACAATGCTGGAATTGACTCCTGTCGATTATAGCCTTGGCATTAGAGGGTAAAACATGGAGTCATTTTATCTTAAACTAAATAAGAATGTGAAATTAAAAAGTAGAAAAATACACAGATGTCTTATGTGAACGAATGTTTCTTCTTTCTTTGTATTGGTAGTGCTAGAGATCAAATATTAGCTTCATATATGTGCAACATGGGCTCTCCCATGGATCCTTAGGCCCAGTTCTAGACTTTGAAGGTTTTTTTTTTTAATTTTATTTATTTATATATTTATTTATTTTATTTATTTTTTTTAATAGTGAGACATCATGAGGTACAGTTATAGACTTACACATTTTTGTGCTTGGGTTTCAATTATACAATGATCAAATACCCATCCCTCCACCAGTGCCCATTTCCCACCACCACGGATCCCAGTATCCCTCCCACCCCCCATCCCCCCCATCCCACCCTGCCTCTGTGGCAGGGCATTCCCTTTAGTTCTCTCTCTCTCTTATTGGGTGTTGTGGTTTGCAAAAGAGGCAATGGGTGACAATCATGTTTGGTCTATAGTCAACTTTCCGCATGCTTCTCCCATCCTGGGAGGATCCTCCTAACACCTTTATTTGGTGTTCCCCTCTTTATCTGAGCTCCCTTTCCCCCTAGTATGTGTGGTTGGCCTCCAAGTCATGGAGTAAAATTCCTCATACTAATCTCGACCATTCTTGGGTGTTAGTCTTCTATTTTGTTACTTTACGTTCCCCAGATGAATGCAATCTTTCTATATCTATCCCTTTCTTTCTGAGTCATTTCGCTTAACATGATACTTTCCATGTAGCACCACTTGTATGTAAATTTTGTGACTTCGTCTTTTCTAACAGCTACATAGTACTCCACTGTGTAAATGTACCAAAGTTTCTTTAACAGTCATCTGTTCTCGGGCACTCAGGTTTTTTCCAGATTCTGGCTATTGTAAAGAGTGCTGCAATGACAAACAATTGCAGATGTCGCTTCGACTATACTTTTTTGCCTCTCTGGGATATATTCCCAGGAGTGGTATTGCTGTAGACTTTGAAGTTTTATAATTCCAAAACTCAGCTATCTTTAGAGATATCCAAGTGGGAGCTGTTATCTAGAAATTTTTAAAAAATGGTATATTTTCAGATAAGCAGTATATATTTGGAGAAAATAAAAGCTAGCATTTGAGATTAATGAAAGCTGAGGTCATATCATACATTGTTTAAATCATAGTTAAGAAGACAGTCACAGTGTTTTTCAATCATCTTTCATCATAAGCGCATTTTATTTATCTCATATATTTTCTTTACCATGTTACCTTTGCAAATATTGTCTGTACACTGAGGGCAGAGAAAGAATGAGTCTGTGGAGTGCGCAGTGAAGGTACAAGTCTCCCTCTGTACCCTTGTCTTTCCCAGAAGGTTCAGTCATTGGCTAGGAATGTACAGCTGTGAAGGTCACTGTTTCTCTGAAAGACTTGGGTGATGTCAGCCTGAAACCTCGGAGGACGAGAGCAATTAAACCTCACCTTGATTTATCTATAATGTGCCATGTGGATTGCTCCTTGGAGTTGGTGACTGCTTTTTACAGTGAAGGGACATTTGCATTTTTATTTTATGAGAAAACAGCCTGCTATAAAGGGAGGTCAGAATACTTTGCTATCTCTTCTCCTTATCAGTTGCTGGACCACTTATGAAGGTTCAGGTGGAAGTGCCTTTTGCTCTATGAGGTCTTTCCTTCTTTGCTTTCCTGCTGCAAGACAGAATACATGCAAATTAGCTAAAAAGAAGGTGCAGAAAACAAACAGAACTTGACCAGTTTGTCGATGCTAAAGAAATAGTGCCTATTTTTTTTTCCGTACTGCCTATTTTTAAAGGAAATGAAGGGTGGGACACAAGTTAGTACAACCGCTTTGGAAACCCAAATATCTGTCTTTTTCTTCTTCAGAATGGCCTCATACTCTATAATATAAAAAAAATTCATCTTATATAGATTACAGCCACCAGAAATTTAGTCAACGGAATGGGTGTTTGAAAGATAGAATCATTATCGGCAATGTGCATGGTAGTTATTAATTGGAACGTCCATCAGTAGAATAGGTAAAGAAATTGTGGCAAGGAAAACGGGTATTTACAACTATAGAACAGAAAGAATAAATCTCAGAAACCTGAAGAGTGAACAAAAAGAGGTCAGACAGTAAGAAGTTTACAGTTATGTCCCCTCTAAAACTTCAGGCAAGGCTAAACTGACCTGGACAAGTCAGGGTAATGGTTACCTTGGTCTTGAAAGAGAGGTTGGTGTTGGGGTCGAGGGGCGTCCAAGAGCAGCTTCTAGTAGTGTGTCTAACCTTTCATTTCTGTCTGGTTCCTGTTTCAAGGGTAGATTCATTGAGAACATTCAGGGCACTTTTTTTTCTGTGTGTGGTATCATAGCTCATTAACCACCCCCCCCCCCCCCCCACACACACACAAGGGGGAAGAACAGAAATTTAAAAACAAGAATACGGAAGGAAAAACTAGGGAGCAAAGGTAAAGAAAAAGGAATAAAAGAAGGATTGTGGGAAAACCCCAAGTCCAGAAGGTTAAAAGACAGGGATCCGTTTGAGGGTAGCACCTGGCTCGGTTGTCTGCCCCTCAACCCTCACCCCGCATGCCTGTCCAGGCCCCTGCCCTGTGCCCTATCCCATTTGCCCAACAAGGGGACAACAAAAGTCCAGGGTGGAGTTGGGGGACCCCCAAGACCCCCGGGGCTTCTCCCTGTACCTCCTCTGCACCCAGAGGGGTGCTGAGGGTTGGAGCTTTCCAAGTGGGTAAGTAACCGTGCAGCGGCGGAACTTGGAGGAGCGAAGGGCTCATTGATGAAATATAAGACTTAAAGCTACCTGCGGGCTCCTCGCCTTCTCTCCTCTCCCCTTCCCCTCCTCCTCCTCCTCCTCCTCCTCCTCCCCTGCCCCCCCCCCCCCCGTCTTCTCTTCTCCGACCTTCTCCTCCTCTCCCCTCCTCTCCCCTCCTCTCCCTCTCTTCCCCTCCTTCTCCACCTTTCCTCAAACATCTTCTAGACCTCCCAGGCGTGGGCGGTGCGGGGCCGGCCTGGTGGCAGGGCGGGGACCCGGGGATCGCTGGGTGCCGCCCCCGCCCCCGCCCGGACTGACCCCGCCCCCGGCCGCTGGCTATTTTGGGCGCGTTGGCCGCGACTGCGGGATCACTGTCCGGCTCCGGTGACAGCTCCTTGCGGCCCAGCACTTGTTGCTCCCTGGACCTACAGGCACCGGCGCGCCCCCGCCCACCCGAGCCCACCTGGCTCCCGGCTCGTTGCCTGTCCCCTCCGGGCTTCTTTTCATGCAATCACTCGGGACACCGACCTCCGAGGCACCGCTGTCCCGGGCTTGAGAAATTGATTATTATATATATTTAAAACGAAAAAAGAGAGAGAAAGAGAGAAAGAGAGAAACCAACCAACCGGTCGCCGAGAGCAGCCAGGAGCGCAGAGCGCTGGCCCGGGCGCCGCAGAGGTGGCGCCTCCACGGCAGGGCACCGGGGCCCCGGGCGCCGACGGCGTGATGGACGCGGCGGCGACTAACGGGGAGGACAGGGACCCCGAGATCGAACTCTTCGTCAAGGTAGGTGGGCAGCGCCCCCGCCGGCCGGCTGCACCTGCTGCGTGGCCAGCGCGTCTCACCTCCTGGCTGGCTCACGTGTCCCCGCAACCCGCGCCGCTGGGACGCGGGGCTCTGCCCGGGGAGGGCGGCCCAGCCCAGGCGGCCCCGGGATGGCCTTTCTGCAGGCCAGAGCTTCGCCTCGCTAGGGTAGCGGGGTCGGATGGACTCAGGTGCGACCTGGCAGGTGTCTGTCTTCAGCGAGAGGATTCAGGCAGCTTGGCAAACCCCCTGCAAGACAGACGGGGCTTGGGGCTCATCTGTCCTGCCCCCTGTGCCACGCAAGGGTTCGCTTGTTCTGGAGACGGCTTCAGGGAGATGGCACAAAACGGGATCTGTCAACCCTTCTGCTAAAATGAGGGACTGAGGGGGTCAGAGGGAAAGGAGATGGGGGTGGGGGGGAAGAAAAGGAATGTTCAGAGCATTGGCAAAGCGAAAACAACACTACTCAGAGACCTCTTTCTGGCTTTGAAGCTCGGAGCTAATCAAAGGTACCCAGGAGGGAACAAACGTTTTCTTGCCTTGGGACCGGCATCAAACAGCTTCATTCAGGGACTTGGTTACTGTCATCCAAAATCGTGGTTGTATAGCAGGGTAGCAGGAAATGTAAAGGGTTCATTTGGCCAAAGGGAAACTTTCTTGTCAACCTGTGAGCCTCGGGAATACAGGGGCTCAGGGCAAAAATTCAGTTAAGTCCCCACTCCCTGGACAGAAAGTCTAATGAGAAATCAGGTTACCCTTCCTTCGCAGCCCTTAGGAGGGAGATGGGAGACAAGGCAGCCTCCCCAGTGAGACTGCTAGTGTAAAGTGAAAGAAACATTTGATCAGCCTCTCCTGCCACTGAGCCACTGGAGGCAGGAAACCTGAGGCTTAGGAGAGTGGCCTCCAAGTGGTGCCGAGTGAGTCACCAGGACTTGGGCAGCCGCAGGGAGCCTGAGCCCCTGGACCTTTCATAAGGAGTCATGGGACCTTGGTGAACCAAAGGCCACCTGACTAAATTTCAAAGACAGTCGCTATAACTTGGAAGATGCTATTTTGTCCAAGTGCTTCTTACCTACAGTGCTAATGAAACAAATTGCAAGATTTTTGCAAAGAAAACGAGTATAAGGTGTATAAAAACTGTGATCAGAATCCTTTAGTATCTAGTGCCTTTTGAAGCCTGAAAACACAACAAATCGGAGCCAGAGATAGAGACAGATACAAAGACAGAGTGACAGAGAGAGACAGAGAGACAAAGAGAGAGACAGAGAGAGAGCTCTAGTGGGTTGGAGTGCTTTGCAAGCAAGAGGCCTGGATTTGATCCCTGGCACTCAGAACCCCTTGCTTTTCCAAGCATAGATCTAGGACTAGCCTCTGAGCACTGTGAGTTTTTATCCAAACCTAAAACTGATGATGATAGTAATAATAATAATAATAATAATGAAAATAAATAATCAGCTGTGACTTATTTTACTCTTAAAGAGTCATCTGTCCTAGTTGGCCAAGTCAACCACAAAGGTTTGCTCAAGTTCTTCAGCTGGGTTTTGCATTCTTTGTTTGAAAATTATCCACAGAAATGACACCTGTGATTTCGCAACACTTGCTTTTCTCACTTTGTTTCTCTTCCTTAAAAATAATGTGACTTCGGTGACCCTCATCTGGTTTTCAGGACCCCACCCAGCTAGTGAAAGTGATCATGCACACACCCCTCCTGCCAAGGTTTGTAAAGGGTGTCTTGAACCCCAGCTTCCAGGCCTGAGGCCCAGAGAATGAATAGGGAAAGCTTCAACAAAGCCAGGAGTTCTCTGTTCTTGAAGAAAGCTATTCTGGGCTTTCTCAGATTCCCTGAGAGCAGGTAGTTTCAGTGTCAAGTTCCTGGAAGATATTTGAAACAAACTGACTCTTTAGAGGCAAAAGAGCCCTTTGCCCCACTACTTAGTGTGGAAACCAATTCTATGGGCATCTTGGAATTCCAGGTTGGCAGCTTATAGGTTTTTCTCCACTTACATAAAAAGCTCATTATATGGTCTGCATATACCCTTCACCCCCAACCATCTCACACACCCTAAAGAATTCTAAAATGCCTGTGCTATCATTTTTCTCCCTGAAGAAAGACAACTTGAGAGAGGGACAGAGACAGAAAGAGAGAGAGAAAGACAGAGATAGAGACAGAGACAGAGAGAAAGAGAGTGTGATATTGTGACAGAGAGACAGACACAGACTAGAGAGTAGCCTTCATGTTTAACTCAAACCAGATTGATGAGGGAACAAAAATCTTAGAGAAAAGCCTTTTTTATTCCACAACTCACCCTCACCCTCTATTCACCCCCTGCCACCCCCACCCCCTGCCCTATCCAACGTGAGTTTTGAGTTCTTGAGTATAATCATTACTCACAGGGACAAGGAAAGGCTGGAGATACTGTGAAATCAAGAAGCTATCTTGGCTTTGACCTGTCTTATTTTAAGGAGGGGATGTCCTCATTTACCAAACTTTGATGTTTCTTAGCCTATGATTTCCTTAGAAAGAAAGGCCTTCTAATCAAGGGCATTAGGCAGCTAAAACAATTTCCAAAGAGAGGTTAATTTCTAGGAAGGCTCTAAGAAGACCAAGCCCACCCAGTAATAGTTGTGACATTTGTAATTTTTACCAGATTACTGACCCCACTCCACCCGACCCTGGCTTGTCACCCAGATATGTCATTAGAATCCTTGGCCACTCAGGAGTTTCAAGGACATCTGATTCTGTTGACATAAATTAGAAGTCCTAATCTGTTATTATTACCACTGCTGCTGATAGTTACAAGAAGAAATGACAGCATTTGGGACTTATGAAACACCCGAACACCTCATCCCATCTGATCCGCAGTATCTTTGTTCCTGAGTCTTGGTCATTATTATGAAAAATGAAGAAAACAAGTCCGAGTGACTCACTGGGATCTCATGAGTCTTAACGCTGTCAGAACACTCCGTGAGCTGCAGTTTACTCTCCTCCTCAGAAAATCAGAATGATGATTAGTCTTATTCTTTGGTTGAAATGCATTTATCAGAGAGCATGTGTCGAAGTAGACTGGATCCGGGCCTCCAGTCCAGCAGCTTGGATTCTACAATTCTTTCTATTTTTTCCAAACATCTTTATGTCAGGCCTTGCACTCTTTTTTGTCAAGGGAGGGTTCTCAAGATGATAATTTTTGGTAGCTTCCTACTTCCTTCTATGTATTCATAGAAGGATGTCAAAGAACCTACTCATTCCTGTCTTTGCTCCAAGTGTAAAGCATTTAAAAAAAACTTTGCCTTAGTGTTTTTAGTTTCTTCGTCTAATTTCTTCATCTAGAATAAGAAAGATTTGATTTGCTTTGTTGTTTGGGGACACACTTGGTGATACTCAAGGCTTACTCTGGTACTCTGGCTCCATGCTTAGAGATCACTTCTAGCAATGCTGGAGGGACATATTACATTCTTTGTTGGGCCATATTACATTCTTCCTTAAAAATAATGTGAACCGGGGTCAACTGCATGTAAAGCAAGTGCCTTAGCCCCGGTACTTCCTCGCAATAGAATAAGAATGCTTTGTGTAGATGAGCTTTTATTTGAATGTTCCATGATAATCAATGGATGGGACAGAGGTTTGGAAGCACATGGCCTACATTCAAGTATTGTCTCTGCCTCTCATTAACAAATTCCTTCTCTGAGCCTTTATAACTCTCTAAATAATAGGCATTATGGTGCATAGTTACTAGACCTTTGGCATGGGCATGATATGTCATATACTTTTGTCAAGGTGTACAACCAAATTCCTGACACTTACACAGTGTTACATATCTATGTTATACCAGTTAAATGTGAAATCAATAAAATAAAAGCAAACATGTTTCCAAAAAAAATAATCAGATAATTTCTTGTCTGAATTAAGACACTTGGTTTAAGAGTGAAAAGAAGATTACTACCAGTAATTAATCTGGACAACAGATATAATCCAAGATTGTTAAGGACCAAGAAACAAATGCACCTCCCTTCCCCATTTATGTAAATGATGTTCCACACATTTGCTGTGAGCATTCCACAGAAACAAGTTGTGATGGCCCTTTGTAAAGTAAATATTGTTATAAATACCTTCACTTCAATATGATACATGTCCCAGGACAGATAGAGCTGGTTTTGATTTGCAAGTCCCTGATTTGACTTAAGGTGCAAAGGCATGTCTATTTTTTCACTGATAGGACTGTTTTGAGAATAAATGTTATTATATGCCTCTTGGACTTTGATCAGAAAGGGAAGACAACAGATTAGAGAATGAATTTTGACTACAATTGATTGAAAGAGAAAAGAGTAAGGCAGTAAAGGTGAGGTGGAAAGTGATTTGGAAAGACAAATAAAGGATGTACTAAGTTCATTTGATCATATTTCTTCTCCCTGTATTGACTCCTCTGCACTCCTTCCCACACCTAGACTTCAGATGTAAGTGAAGATAATGGTGGGATAACTTGTTCTGAATATCTCCCAAAGCAGGGACATGAGTTTTAGCAGAAACTAGTAATTCAACCTCAGCAACATATTCAAATATTTTATAATGCTAGATGCTAGATTGGTATTTAGGTTGGCCAGTTAAGGCAGAGTCTTTGTAGATAGGATCCAAAATTAACATCTTTTGACTCCATCTTGAGGGGGGAGTTCAGCTTGTAGCTCTAGGGAATTCATTGAGTCATAATCAGAGAGGGGTCTTGACAGTCTGCTACAGTTGACCTGGGTAGTGTGGTAGTGGGGCTTCAAGTTCAGAATTTCTTGTAGTCCCAGGAAATGTTGGCTCTGAGTATGCTGTTGATCTACTGCTTGAACAGATGTTGACAGATTCTAAAGCTCTTCCCCAGGACTCTAGAAGAATTAGGGCTTGGATTGTTCTAGTCAAATAACCATCAATTCAGCAAGGGAAAATAAAAGAATCCTACTAATTGTCTGATAGAAAGGACTAATCATTTCATTTACTAGGT